AATCTCTTAAATTTCCTTACCTAACTTTCCTATTCATCACAAAGAGTGAGAATGTCATTTGCATGTTGCAAATGCGCGATACTAGGTACATCTCTCAACACTTTGAACCGACCAAAAATAAATAAATTTCTCCTGCTCCACTTTTATTGGATATGTCATTTGTTAGTTATTTAATTGGGTTTGGGACCCCATTGTACAACTATTGTGGTTGTAAACAATTGGGATATATTTAAGGGGTGGTGCGATTTGTATAGAGCCTAGGATCTAAACAATCAAATTAGAATCTATCTTCAAATAGTATTGACAAATGTAGTTTCAATATTGGAAACTTTTGAGATAGCTTTAAAATATATTTTCATCTTTATTTATGAAGTTTAAAGCTTTAAAAATAGTGTAGATCGATAGATCTATAAAAAATTGAAAATCTTGAAAATTGACAATCCAAAAATAAATTACCAAATGTAATATTTCCACAACTTGAAATCCATTTTTTTCTCATATCGATGCATTTTGATGTTGAGATGATCAATTTGAGGATATTTGAGCATCAAAACAACCTCTTCTAGTGAAATTTTTCCAGTGGGCTCTTATTGATTCTTTAGAGCCTTGGCTCTATATAAACTTTACTTTTCCCATATCGGGAAGGGTTAGTATAGATTCATACAACACACAAATAGTGTCTTCAAAATAGACCGCTAAGGTCTGTTGGTCGTTAGCCTAAGCTAACACTCACAAACGTCAACTGATGGAACAACTCAGCTAAATGTTCATTGTTGATCAACATATGGTCGAGTTGCAATGAAGCACACTGTATATGTGCTACATTCCGTTATGATTTCCAAATTTAGAAAACAAATAAACCAGAAGATTTCATGTTCCCATGGGAGCATACTGTTATTTGATCCATCAAGTAATACCTAATCTGAGTAATTTTACGATCCCCATTTTTTGGCTGTACCCTCTTCAACCTTGGACTAGCCTAAAAAAAGTTTCAACATGGAATCTAACTTTTGGACAACTTAAAATGTAGATTTTTTCTTTTGAAAATAATCATCTAGTGATTCTTTGAAAATTGTCTAAGATCCATAAAATCCACCCAAGTAAGCCTTTTGCCCAAGGAACAGATATGCAACATGCCCTCCTGCAAGTATAATACACACGCCCAACAACTAAAACCTAACACCTTCCATCTCGGAGAAACAAAAGAGTGCTATTGAGCCAAAACCGTCTTTTTAATGGATCTTGCACTCTTTTCTTTAGACAATTCCCACATCTACCATCCTTGCCTATTCCTGCTTTTACATTTTGAAGTTACGGATTACATAATTTTGAAAGCATGTTCACAGCTCTTCTTATTTTATTCAAGAACAAATTTGCATTACATTGCGAAAGCATGTATGAGACTTTACTGGTATGAGTAGCATAGTATAATTCATATGCTGTTTTTGCTTTTATGGGGCGACCCGAATATGAATATAAGCAAACAGGGGCACGGCCATGCTTTCAAACTCATATTCCGGCTGCAATCTTCACATTTCCAGTTGGAATTATATTGAATGCTTTATAAGAGATATGAACCAGCAAGTACCCATTCAATCTTCAAGCTGGGCAATCCATTCTTGACTGATATATATGCATGGAATCAACCACGACAATATTTTGCGATGATTTGCAAACTCTCAGGGCTTACTATTTTCAAAGCCGGTTTTGCTCTAACTTGAATTTCAGGACTAGTCATTATATTATAATGCTAACCTTACCCATTAAATACAGTACCACAAGATGAAGAGGTTAGTTGTTTTCCCCATGCCATATTTTAGGCAGAGAGCATACCTGAACACCTGCTGAAGTCATCTACCTTATCTTTTCTAACCACCTTGGGTTTCTGCATAAAGAGTCCTTGATTGAGGAACAAATCTTGAAATGGAAGAAAATTTTCCAGTGATATTTTGGGAACTCATCAAGATTTTTTCCAGGCTATCCAAGCTTCTAGAAGAATAGAATTTGGCAAAAAAATATACAGGCAGAAAATTGCACCATTTCCATTTTTTTCCCACACAAATTTTGGCCATGAGCGAGCTACTTTATGTTCCCCAAACAAGAATATTGAGTTTTTAACAACCGATCTGTCATTTTACACATCTATTTGCGAAATTCCATAACGAAAAGTACTTGTAAATTCCATAGGCACAGTAGGCATTGGAATCCCTAGCTTAATATCGCAGGCCATGCTTATGACTTGCCAATAACCTGTTCCCCTACCCCATGAACTAATTCATTGCTTTGATTGAGTTTTTATCACTTGATTGAGTTTTTATCACTAAATAAAGAATCATAGAATGTCCAGTGACTTCGATACTATATGAACTCCTCGTCATAATGCTGAAGCCCATGTGATCAATCCGCATGCTCTCAAAACTGGCCAGAACTCTTAACGTAGTATTTGGAATCAACTGGCTCCGTCGAAGGGATCTGTTGATTTGGGTTCCAAATATAAGCCAGGCGAGCAAAACAGATCGGCATCCTACCCCACCTTAGAATTAGTCTGACAACCAATCTATTGAAGTTCAGTCTATTTTTCAACCAGTTAAACCCACATCCACCACTGTTGAATACTTGGCATCTCATTAAAGTTCTCAATATTCTTTACTACAAGTGATCAGAAACTGAGTTTTGCATCAGGTTGGTAAACTTGATGAATTGGCTACACAGCTGATAGGAAGTGAAGACCATTGACCTCCTAGTACTTTATCACACAAGAGATCTATATGATTATCAGGATAGATGAGAATGAAACATGAGTTTAATCTTAGATAAGATCGAAACTGACCACCGTGGGTTGCTCGGGCCCAAAATCGATCATAAGCAAGCATTTGTCAGTACACACCATTCTAGTTAGTAAGAATTGAGCACATCCTCAGATATTGATCTAACATTTAGTTCTGCATAAATCAACAAACAAAATAAATAAAAATTCAAGAGCATTTCTTCTTATATTAAACTTATGCATTGTTTATGCAACCTTTCCACCTTCCTCTTTGGATTTATAAATTCAGGAGTCTTGCCCAATAAATGTAATAACTGTTGAAGATAATGATGCAAAATAATAGGAATATATGGGTAGTTATCTCTACGTGTATGGGTAGTTATGTCTCTCTCTCCGATAGTATGTGTCCTTTTAAAAATCAACAGTGGTCTCAGAGCATTAAAACTTGCAACATGGTATCAAAGCCTTATCAATAACTCTCACCTTAACATATTAATTTTATAAAATCAATCAGAATCCTTCAATTTCTTCTACTAAAATATCATAGAACTGATATAATGTGTTGATTAAAATGCTATGTTCACCTTCTACTTTATATTTGCATAAAATCGTGATGTTGCGTTCTTTTATGAAACGATCATCCCACTTGTTAAATCGATCAAGGACACAGATGTTTCGCTTTCAACCTTTATTCTATATAAATCACCCCATTGACATTTGTGTGGCTTGCATAATCTCAATTCCACCTATGTATGCATGATTTTGGGATCCTGTAGAAACTTTATTTCAAATTGAAATTGGAATTGCTAGCTTCTCCCCTCTTCAATTGATTCAATTGGATCAATTGATAAATAGAATAATATCAAAGTCTCAAAGGAGATTTACTTTCAAGTGGTATAAATTGACTTTAGGAGACGGTTTTTGAGGCAAGGTTTATGATCATGACAAAGAGCCTCGAGGAACCCATTCTAGTCATCTGCTTTCTCCAATGCACCAATAAAATAGCTGCAATCTAATCCTTTTTATAGACCAAGATGTATGAGAACATGGAACAATTTCAATTCTTTCAAAATTTGTGGACAAGAGCCGATCACATCAAACCTTTACTTGAGCCTATCTTCATTTCCTAAAATAAATCAATGCATTAGGTGGTAATAGTTTCTCCATGTATACCATGATTATGGGTGTTCATCAAGGCAGTTACTTTCTCATAATATAGGGGTTTGCATATTTTCTTACTGGACCATCAATGTATCTGTCATGCCATAAACTAGGTATCACCTATCATCAATACGTCTAGCATGGCTTCCATAAATGCAGCCAAATGCAAAAGGATTAGAAGCTATTTCATGATGGGGACTAAACCTATGGTAGCTCTTCTTCAATCTAGAAATTTAGTATATATTTGGACTACACTGTAAAGCACTTTAAAGGTTCTCACGGATTTCCCAATTGATCATGTCATCATCAAGCACAGTTTACAGTATACCTACCATCTACTAGTTTTCACCCAAAAATATTTTCTACAGTTTACAAAACTTTAACCATCATGATTTATTACTATGACATCTGCTACATTATCAATCTAATTATTCCAGATGAGAAGTATTACGTCTGACTGAAAGTTTGTATTTCAATGTTAATTTCCTTATTGCTAATGATTCATTGGAAAGTGAAATACTTTCGTAACGAAATCTTCAGATGGCATGGATAAAGAAAATGCCACTATTTGTGACTAATAAGGAAATCAATTCAATGACTTGCTTCTACTGGAACACTTGAATATTTTTGCTTTTCCCATTTTGTTCCTCAGTGTATGAGAAGCACAATATCCTTTTAGCAAGATGCAGACAACATATATTATCTTTGAATAAAATCCAAAGCCCACAATCTCAACCATCAACCAGCAGCCAAATTGGCGATCAAAATATTCATATAGATTATAACCATACGTATTGTCTTACATTACACACATTTACAATCCAAAGTTTCATTATCTATATGACTAAAAATGAAAACTGGATTTTGTGGGAATTTCGTAGATCACCCAGTTCCAATTTCCCATTTACTCAACAGTGCAAATAGCTTACATTCAAATGCATGTTAAGAAAATATATGTCCAAATAAGTGTCTTACAAGGAATTCTTAATTAATTTTTAGTATTTATGCAGCATTTCTTCAGATACATAAATATATTTTACAGTCCCACTCAGTTTTAAGTCTATCTTTTCAGGAATTTCCAGGACATATCAATTGTTATGCATATGCACTTCAAACATGAACTTTCCATTAACAACATCAAGGTACCTTGGCTCAACCACTTCTTTCAAATACATGTTCAAAGTTGCATAGAAATTAAGGGATCCTTTTCCAAATGAAATGAAATCCAGTAGAGTAGTTTAAATTAACATACATTTTCGTACTATGGAATTAAGATGGGACGAAAGACATAATCTATATCAGACATGTTTTAAACATGACATGCCATTGCAATTTTAATTTTGGTTCCTGCCATTCTGGATAAAGTGATAAATGTTTAATATGTGGTGGAACTCATTTCAAAATGCAATCTTTTACGATGGCATTAACTATAAATAATATAAGCGTATGTTCCCCTACCATTCTTTAAATTAATGACATGTAACTCCATCAATGCGTGCTTGTGGTCATATCATCATCATCAAAGCCTTATCCCAATTATTTGGGGATAGTTACATGATAAGATGTCTCAAATTTTTATGCTGGCTACCTACCTAATGCAACTCACCTCCGGCAACCCATGCTTGTGGTCATATATTCTATTAAAATGGGCATCTACTACAAATAGTTGCTCAGGTATCTTTATGAGGGTACTCCCTCTATAATTGCTAGCAGCAGTTATAGAGGATGATTTAGGTAGACACCAACAAGATTGGTAAACCGATCTTCCTATTTTGAACTTTTCACTGTGCAACAGCCATGCCAAGTCATCAGCTACACTATAACGAGTTTTCTTTCACCGACAATATTCACACTCTCAATCTCATATATTGTTATGCTCTAAGTATCCCACTGTTACATTAAGCAGAATGTTGTTGTCCAGAGTGTTACATTGGAAGATTTGATTATTGGGACAAACATATGCAAGATTCATTAAACAGAAGGCTGTTGTCCAGAGTGTCACACAGGAAGATTTGATTATTGGGACAAACATGTGCAAGATTCATTGCGCTATTCTTTGTGCACTCAATATATTGTTAGTAACAGTGTGCCTTACTGTGACAAACAACTACACTTATCTAACATCAAAGGCCATCATAATTTAAAAAACGATGACCTGTCAACCTATATATCGTGTGGGTGCTGAAGTCATACTTGAGCTTTGAAAATGAAATGGAGTGCTGAAAGTTTTTTTTATCTGGTTATGGTGTACATGGAAAAAAGAACATGAGCAAAGATAGACACTTTGAGGTGCAGCAAGCTTCCTCTAGGGTAAAAAAATGAGTCGTAACCCGGTGGTGGTCCCGCCTAAGCAGGTTGCCAGGAGGGTTGGGTTGGAAACAGTCCCTAACCTTTGGCTTATACATAAAGTGGCCGCTCTCAGGACTTGAACGTGAGCTTTTGCACTGGTTACCTGAGCCTTTTACTGTCACGTCAAGTGACGTTCCCTAAGCTTTCTCTAGGTTAGTTTAGGTTATATAGATCCAGAATGTGAACATTCCATTTTAGGTAACCATGGAAATGCTATCATTATCATCGAAGCCATTTCCCAACTAATTGGGGTTGGCTGCTCAAATTTTGGTCCTCCATTCTACTATATTATGGGTCATACCCTTAACAAGGTCATAAATTCCTATATATTTTCTCACTACTTCCAATGATGTCCTTTTGGGCCTACTCTTTGCCATTTTTTAGTCTTCCACTTGAACTAACTCACACCTCCTAATAGATGTTGTACTAGATCCGTGCTACACATGGCCAACCCACCTAACTCTACTCTCTCTCATCTTATCGCCTATTGGTACCACACCTAAATTTTCCTGCACGTATTCAATTTGAATTATCTCTTCTTGTCTTGCAACTCATCCATCTCAACATCCTTATCTCCACTACACTCATTCTATGAGTATATTATTTTTTTACTGCCAAAGTTTGTCTCACAACTGTCCTATAGATCTTGCCCTTTAGCTCCATCGATATGCGGCGATCACATAAAATTCCGGTTGCAAATCTCCACTTTGCCCATCCACCTCTAATTCTATGTGTCGTCTTCTTCAATCTCTCCATTTTCTTGATAATCAATCCTAGATACTGAAAGTGCGCTCTTTTTTAATATTTCATGGCTATCAATCTTACCTACTTCTTTGTCTCTACTCTTATTATTGCTAAACTTGTATTCTATATACTCTGCATTAGTCTGGCTTATTTTAAAACCTTAAGATTCTACAGCATACCTCCAAAATTCCAACTTTGTATTGATGTCATTTCGAATCTTATCGATCAAAACTATGTCATCTGCACACAACATGCACCACGGTACCTCATCTTATATGTACTTAGTTCAGTTGTCCATAACTAAGACAAAAAGGTATGGGTTCAATGCTGACCCCCAATGTAGATCTATTGTCATTGAAAATTCACTCGTCCCTCCATTAGTTGTCCGTACACTAGTTAACGCTCGATCATACATATTTCTCACCAAGTCAATGTAGTGTTTGGAGACTTCTTTTTTTTCCAACGCCCACCAAATCAAATATCAAGGTACTCTATCATTAGCTTTCTCTAGATCAATAAAGACCATGTGGAGATCCTTTCTCTTCGCCTTAAACTTCTCAATTAGTTTCCTAAGTAAAAAATAGCCTTGGTTGTTGATAAGCATGGAACTGTCAATAACACAAACAAATATCATGTAAAAGAATTAATAAAGTCCAAAGTTTCTATGTTTCCAAACTTTTATTAGGCTCTAAAAGTGATTGTCCAATTTCTAGTGTACTCCAATTATATTATGAGAAATTTCAAAGCTCTTTTATTTGTATAAATATGCGATATTTTATCAATTTATGCTCTCCTATGGAATGCCTCTATGGAAAATTGGGCGTTAAATATAATGGTATCAGTAAATGCGTATTTAGTGGTTAACAATAATTTCTAGGATTGTTTTAGAATACAATGAGCTCTTTCCTTTCTAGGATTGTTTTAGAATATAATGAGCTTTCTCCCCCATCTAAAAGCCATGTTTACAAACCCAGGGTTGGAGAGAGATTAGACATATAGTTTGGTAAAGTAAGAAAGTATATACTCAATTTTTTTTAAAAAAAGTCAAAGACTAAATGTCTCAGCACCCCACAATATCAACCTCAAAAAGCAAAAAAAGAAAAGAAAGGAGAAGAAAAAAGATCTAGACGCTTAAAATAACAAAAAAAAGTCTGAAACCTTTGAAAGCACTCATAAAAGAGGACATGATCCTAAAAGGTGTCCATTGAGGATTATTCTACAAGCACGGTTAATTCATTTGTAACTGATCGGTTATTTTTTTTCCACAAGTATTCAGTGATCTCTAGAGCTTTTTTTATCTTTGAGATCTTGTAGATTCCTAGAGAGTATAATCCAGGCCCATAATTTTCCTTCTTTTTGTTTTTTTTAATACAATGAATCCTATATTTCCATGATTTGAATTTCAGAATCCTTTAAAGTTTCTCCTTTTATCAGTGGGCTTTTGAGTTTCCTTAGCTTATTTGAACCCAGTGTCTCTCCCTCCATGAAAACTCTTGTATATTTCAAGCTTATCATTGATTACAAAGTATTGGTGAACTGAGAGAATAAGTGATGATCAATAAACATCATACAACTCTACAGGTATATGATCAATTTGTCTAAATACACTGAAATCCCATAAAACACAAGCAGATTACGGTAACGACTTGATTATTAAGTAAAGATTAACAGAAAAACAATTCATATTATTTATTACAATAAAGATACAACATCAAATACAAAGATTATATATAAATCTTACATGTCTATTACTTGATGATACATCAAATCCCAGGAAAAAGAGAAACCATTTCAAAGTTCAAAAGAGAGTTCACCTACCCAACTGACTTTCAATGCAAACAAAGATGACCCAGATGTTCAAGCATATTTGCACTGCACAAAAGGATTGAAATCCATTTTTCTCAGAGAAAGAAATCGACTCAATAATGGAGTGCAAGTTCCAGCATCGTGAATAACCAGATTATGAATCCCATTTCCTTATGGAAAGTGGCTCTCGTTTTTGGGTCCATTTTCAAATTAAATAAAATCGATGTAAGCACTCAAAAAGGGACAGGCTAAAGATTAGGGATCATAACTAGGGTTCTGAGGAACGAGCCTCGAGGTATGAATAAGTATATTATATGTTTCACTAAATATGTTACTTTGTATTTTGTTCTTAATTTCTTATGGTTTAAACCCTGGAACCTTTGGCTTTTATGCTAAAACCTAAAATCAAGAGATATTATGGAGAGAGGCTTTTGAGTTGATAAATGAGCCTTTTTCTATGCTTTGCAGGATAGAGAGAGAGGGAGAGAGGCCCTTAAAAAAAAGACCAGGTTTCTATGTGGCGAAGCCCGCATATGTAAAAATGTGGGCCGTTAATAAATCTATTTTTGAGATGAATTTTAAGCCTTATCTTTTAAGAACTTGTAATCACGAATATGATAAAATAAATAAATTTTAAAAATTAAAAATAATAATTCTACTAAAAATACGTTAAATTTTAAAAATTAAAAATAATAATTCTACTAAAAAAAACGTTTGGACCATTAATTTCCATTAAAAAAAAAGGACAATACATTTGATTACTGTAAGTACCACATGAAAAATCGTAGTGTATCCAAAGGATTACCCCAAAGCATAAACTGTGGGGTCATCAGCTTCTAGTCACTGATGGACGTTGGATCATTACCTTCTTATGGAGGGACCATGGTATAGAGAGTGAAAGAGAGAGTGGTACTCCTAGTGGGCTCCACCTCTCCGCATCCATTATTTGGATGGTGATGACTCAATGGATTATGGTTTTTTGTGATGTATGGATTATAGTTTATTTTCGGTATTCGATTGTATATAGCATAAAATGGTCTAGGTGGGCATCCACCGTTCATTCATGAAGGCACAGAGTGGAGACTAAGTATAGGTGGTCAGATTCTATCTAGTTTAAGAAACGGATGGTGGATGCTTCCCAAGATTATCGATTTATTTCCGCCTTAGGTGTATATGTACCGGGAACTTTACAATAAATCTGAGAACTATGCAAATTAACAATAAACCTTGGGGACATCAGCCT